GGTTTAAAATACCAGTTTCCAGTCCGGTAAATGCTAATATGGAAAGAGTGGAGAACAACATGAGGCAAGGTGAAGGATTGAAGATACCAACAAGGAGAAGAGGCCAGAATCCGGCTTGGTGCCGATTCCACCAAACCAAACTTTTTGATTATTCAGGAACAAATGTCTGTTTAGTATTCCGATTCCATACCAAACTGAAGTTGTTCCAATTTTCAATTTTATTTTTTATTTTGAGTATCGTGGGATGGTATGATTACAAAGTATTTTTACTATTGAAGCACTACTCTTCACCCTACACTATTCTGGATAAACTATGGTTGGTGGGATTTAAAATAGCGTGATTCTCAGCATTCCTATATGTTGTTGTTTATTGTATATAAAGTTATATTTTTTATCAATAATTCGCTTAAATCTAACGATATTAGAATCCAAAAAGATTGTCGGTATGGATGGCAAAGTTTTAAACTGGTATCAGCTGGGAACGAGTCTATCAGTGAAATCGTTGTCAAGCTATTATGGAAAAGTGTCTTGGAATCTTGGAGATGAATTGCTTTTCTAAACTTGGGGTATTCCCCACAACAGCACAAGAACTGGTACCCTATAATAAGATAGCTCTGACTCTATAATAAAGTATGTTAAGGCGTTGCTTCATAATTATCAAATCTCGTCTCTTTAAAGTACAAAGTTATCGTGGCTACGCCACCACAGGAAGTGATTATTACTGCAGCCAACATTGTTGACTTTAAACTCAAAAGCTTACAGCAATTTGCTTGATAAAATACACAATTGATGTGAAGTAATCGTATGTGTTCCATGTAGTTTTTACTGATCAAGTAATGTATTTGTTATTAAACCTTTCAGGAATATAAATAATTAGGTCATTTGTAAGAACTTCTTACATAAAGAGTTCCAAAAAGGGAGATAATTCATGTCAAGAGTTAACATTCTACAGACTGCATTTAGTCTATTTCACAACTACATTCAATTAGAACCAGCGAAAATGAAAAACATACAAAATTCTTGCTTCTTCTTCTACATTAATCGACCAAGAGCTAACAATATGTTCAATTACCGTCTTGGCCATATCATCAAAATTCTTCTGCTATTTAACTAGGCCGACAAATCTGACCCTATCCAGTTCCTTAGACGTGATATTCAGATGTGATATATCGTAACTGGGTTAGGGCCAGACATATAATGTCAATGTTCATAAGAGGTGCTCCAACCACATTTTTGATGGCTAGTTTTTGAGAATTTCCACGGGGGTAGGCCTTATTTAAAGAGTTGTACAAAGCGAGAACAATATATGACTGTATTGTGGTACCGTGTGGGTCACAAGGACATCACAGAATATTTGGGATTATCTCGATCGACTCAGTACACTAAAAGTTTTGCCAAATTAGGCTTTTTTCTTGCTGAAATAATATCTTGTAAATTTATTGAAGAGAGATGAATTTCCTTGGAGGTTTCTATATAATATATATGACTGTTAAGAAGCGTAATGATCATTTTAAAGATCATTTGATAGAACGACTGTTGTTAAAATATAAATTAAGTTTATTAGATTGTTCTGTTTGAAAATTAAAATCCGGATAGCATACAGTGTCATATAAATAAGCCTACTACCGAGTCCACAGGAATTAATTGAAGCAAACGTTTTATCAAATGAATGTTCCAAGTCGATTCCACTTTGAGATCACACGAAATGTAATCATTTTTCTTCTCGGGCCCTGTTTTCTTTTGTACTGTCTAATGGAGTTTTAGGTCATACTTTTTCTCAGTCAAATTAAAATAAGACAAAACTTTTGTTCCGTTTATGTATTTATAATATAGCTACTTCAGTTAGGGTCTAACGACAGTCCTCTTGAACGTCCTTCAAATTACCCTGTGGTTATGTAAATTTTGCCAAGACATCGGCACTATAATCTAAAATGTCATGTTTGAACTTTAACCCATTGAACTATGTATAGACAAATTAACATTCTGGCATGTACACTTTCCAAAATCGCGTGAGATGTATTCTCTAGCTTCCCACATTAGTCTAAGGTATTCGGGATGTGAAAGCAATACGAACAATAAGCAATCTTAACACTGGACATATACACGAATTGTGACAAAGGGAAACCCAAAGTACAACAATAGGACAATATTTTTGGCAAATGGTTTACCTTGAAAGTTCTCCTATCGCTCTGTAACAGATTCAGTTTAACGGAAACTGTCGAGGATTGCCGAATGCCTCTATAAGTTTCGCTATCATACATTTCAATTTTGTTAAATGAAGAAACTTGTTCCAAATGACACGCTTTGATCGGCTGAAAATAACGTCATTGGAATGGTACTATTGTAGAAAACTGGTCAGATTTAAATGAATACGAAAAAATCAGAAAACAAAGAAGAAAGAAAATTGTAGTTTAATTTATAAAGATTGACTTAAAAGGGAATAAGTCTGATTAGAGTGGTTTTCTAGTGTTTGAATAGTTTTATAATGATTGGCTTCACAAGATTTTGTGTTTCAGACATCTGTTGGTGAA